ATGGCCCTGGCAGGTGCGCAACCGTTGTCGCAGAAGTTCGAAAAAGTTGCTCGCAAAAGCCCGTTTGACAGAAATGTTTTAAAAATGTTGGTTTTCCTACGAATCCGCAAGAGCGCGCGGGATGAGATTTTGACATTTTTTTGTTGAAAAACCATTGGTTTTTTGATGTTTTATGTTAAAATCGCTCCGAACACTAAGCTTTTGGAAGGATTTCGTCTTGCGCGCGCGAATGTCCACTTTACCTTATTTTTTGCCAGGGATTCTTGAAATTTGATTATATTAGAACAAGAAATGTCATTTTATAGTGTTTTTTGCAAGGGAAAACTGATTACAACAAAACAACCGGATCTGGACCCCATCCACTTTTCTGAAGCTTTCGCGAAAAAATGATGAAAATGTAGCTGCGGCCTAGGCGCGGCGGGGGGGCCGTGCACCAGGGGTCCCAACAATAATTATTCTTTAGAATTAATAATGTTCAACAACAACAACAACAAAGCAAGGGCGGCCAGCGCCGACCCGTCGGGACCCCCCCCGGCAACAACCACAACAACGACCCCCCCCCACACAACACCACAACAACGCCATTGAATTCCATTTGTGTGAACATCTGCGGACCTCCTCTCTGGCACCAACGAATCCCTGCCGGCAAAGAGCTTGTGTGCACCGGCGAAGCGAGGAAATTCCAAGGAATCCTTAGGAAATCCTAGGACTCCGTTCGAATCCCTAGGAATCCTTAAGCGGAATCCTTACGAATTCCTAGGTATCCTTAGGCATCCTTAGGAATCCTTACGAATTCCTAGGAATCCTTAGGCATTCCTAGGAATCCTTAGGCATTCCCAGGAATCCTTACGAATTCCTAGGAATCCTTAGGCATTCCTAGGAATCCTTACGAATTCCTAGGAATCCTTTGGCATTCCTAAGAATCCTTTCGAATTCCTCCTTCTCGAATTCCTAGGAATCCTTTTCGAATTCCTAGGATTCCTTACGAATTCCTAGGAATCCTTCGGCATTCCTAGGAATCCTGTCGAATTCCTAGGAATCCTTAGGCATTCCTAGGAATCCTTAGACATTCCTAGGAGTCCTTTCGAATTCCTAGGAATCCTTAGGCATTCCTAGGAATCCTTACGAATTCCTAGGAATCCTTAGGCATTCCTAGGAATCCTTACGAATTCCTAGGAATCCTTAGGCATTCCTAGGAATCCTTACGAATTCCTAGGAATCCTTAGGCATTCCTAGAAATCCTTGGAATTTCTCCGGAATCCTCAGGATTTTTCCGGAATCCTTCGGCATTCCTAGAATCCTTCGGAATACCTAGGAATCCTTAGGAATTCCTAGGAATCCTTAGGAATTCCTAAGAATTCGTAAGAATTCCTAGGAATCTTGAGGAATTCCTAAGAATCTTTCGGAATTGCTAGGAATCCTTAGGAATTCCTAGGAATCCTTCGGAATTCCTGGGAATCCTTCGGAGAACAAATAGACCCGGGAATCTCGTCCCAAACCCCTCCCTGTTGTGGGACACGGTCGGGCGCCCGCACGTACTAACACTACAACAACAACACACAACAACACACAACAACAAACAACACACACCAAACAACAAACAACAAACAACAAACAACAAACAACAAACAACAAACAACAAACAACAACAACAACAACAACAACAACAACAACAACAACAACACCAACAACCACAACAATCATTTTACCCGAACGCGTGGTGTTCTCCCCAGTGCCAGGGTTTTCATACGACACCAGGCAATACCCCCACTTCGTGGGGGGGCATTACAAGCTCTACCAAATATCCAAACGACTCTTCGCGACCACCCAAACCCAGCTTCCCGCCCTATGACGTTGGAACACTTCACTTCGTGGCGTGCGGACGACCGTGGCTACTACACTGGCGTGGGGTACACACCCACAGAACCCAATGGTTTTTGGAGATTTCGGCGTGCGCGCGCGAAAAAAAAACGAATCTGTCCCGCATGGTATTATTTGACAGGGATGATGGCCCTGGCAGGTGCGCAACCGTTGTCGCAGAAGTTCGAAAAAAGTTGCTCGCAAAAGCCCGTTTGACAGAAATGTTTAAAAAGTGTTGGGTTTCCTACGAATCCGCAAGAGCGCGCGGGATGAGATTTTGACATTTTTTTGTTGAAAAACCCTTGGTTTTTTGATGTTTTTATGTTGAAATCGCTCCGAACACTAAGCTTTTGGAAGGATTTCGTCTTGCGCGCGCGAATGTCCAATTTACCTTATTTTTTACAAGGGATTCTTGAAATTTGATTATATTAGAACAAGAAATGTCATTTTATAGTGTTTTTTGCAAGGGAAAACGGATTACAACAAAACAACCGGATCTTGATCACCTCGAATTACCTGAGGCTTCCTCACGAAAATTATGAAAACGTGGCTGCGGCCTAGGCGCGGCGGGGGGGGCGCGCACCAGGGGGCCCAACAATAATTATTCTTTAGAATTAATAATGTTCAACAACAACAACAACAACAACAACAACAACAACAACAACAACAACAACAACAACAACTACGACGACGACGACAACCACACAAACAACCAGAATCCCGCATCGCTGAATTCCACTTCATCCACGCAACCAGGGACAGTGAATCCCGTTCGTTTCAGCTCCTCAGTCTGAATATATATATATATATATTTATATATATATATATATAAATATATCGTATCTATACATAACAAACTCATACATACATACATACATTCATGCATGCATGCGTGCGTGCGTGCATGCATGCATGCATGCATACATACATACATACGTACATACATACATACATACATACATACATACATCAAAGAGAGAGAGAGGGGGGGTGAAAAAAAAAAAAAAAAAAAAAAAAAAAAAAAAAAAAAAAAAAAAAAAAAAAAAAAAAAAAAAAAAAAAAAAAAAAAAAAAAAACGGTGCCCACCGCCGCTCTTCCTGTGAAAAAATCCCCCACCCTCTTCCCCGGGAATCTGGGGGTCCCCCCCCCGTACGAAAACCCCTCCCCTGCTGGGCCCCCCCCCTTCCCCGCAAACCCACCCCCCCCATCCCCTAACCCCCTCCCCTCCAGAAACGGGGTGGGGTCACTAAACGTTTTCGACCCCCCCCCCCTTTCGTGAAAACCCGAAAACCGAGGGGGGGTCACTACCTGTTCGAACCCCCCACCCCCTCCCCCACGAAAACCGGGGGGGGGGGCAAGAAAGGAAAAAAAAGGGGTTCACTACCGGTTCGACCCCCCCCCGTCGAAAACCCGAAAACCGAGAGGGGGTCACTACCGGTTCGAACCCCTCCCCCCCCCCATCACCGCCAGCAAACGACTCCCGGTCCCTACCACCGTCCGCACCACATCCCCCACTGCTGTTCCCAGCACCACTGTCCTCACCAACACTGTCCCCGCTGGTTCCACCACCGTCCCTACTGTCCCCACCAGTGCCCCCACCACTGTCGCACTGCCCCCACTGTCCCCACCACTGTTCCCACCACGGCTCCACTCCCCCCACTTTCTCCACGGCCCCAACCACTGCCCGACTGTCCCCACTGTCCCCACTGTCCCACTGTCTCCTCCGCTGTCCCACTGAGCTGTCCCACTGTTCCCACCACTGTCCCCACTGTACCTCTGTCCCATTGTCCCACCGCCAGCCATCCTCGCCACCGCCCTCACCACTGTCCCTACCACCACTGTACCCTCCACTGTCCCACTGTTTCCACCACATTCCCATTATCCCCACACCACTGTCCCCACCACCACCGTCCCCACCACTGTCCCACTGTCCCCACTGTTCCAAACCATTGTCCCCGCTGTCCCCACCAGTGCCCCCACCAGTGTGTCAATGCCCCCACTCTCCCCACCATTGTCCCACCACGGTCCCACTCTCCCCACTTTCCCCACGGTCCCCACCACTGCCCCACTGTCCCCACTGTACCCACTACTGCCCCACTGCCCCCGCCGCTGTCCCACTGTGCTGCCCCAGCGTCCCCACTGTCCCCATCACTGTCCCACTGTCCCCACTGTCCCCACCACTTTCCCCACTGTGCTACTACCCCACCACTGTCCTCACCACCGCCTTCACCACTGTCCCCACCACTACCGTCCCCACCACTGTCCCGCTGTTCCCACCACTGTCCCGCTGTCCCCTCACCACTGTCCCCACCACCACCGTCCCCACCACTGTCCGCACCCCCTCCCCCGGGTTTCGGGGGGGGTCGAACCGGTTGTTTTCCCCGGTTTTCGAGGGGGGGGGTCCAACAGGTAATAACCCCCCCTTTTCATGATGGACTGGGGGGGGGTGGGGGGAGGGGTTCGAACCGGTAGTGACCCCCACCGGTTTTCCGGAGGGGGGGGGTTCGAACCGGTAGTGACCCCCCCCCGGTTTTCCGCCAGCAGCGGTAGAACACGCTCTTTCATATATATATATATATATATAGAACGATGGTTTAACACTATCCAAGTGTACCTCCTGCATGTTTTATTCTACATCAGGTCGAGCCAAATGACTGCAGCCTGCAGCCCCTGACTCCGACTGGGGGTGGAACACGCGTATTGATGCATCGGCGCCGCGGGCAACGCACCTCAGCACCTCAGAGGCAGCGGGATGCAGAGCCAGGCGGCAGACTCGTGGCACGACGCTGCCACCGGTCCCAGCCCCCAGGAAGGATGTCATCGCAACACACAGGCGCATCTGACAACACGGGCAGCCTCCTTATGTGAAGTAGACGCTGCGTTAGCTGCAGGGCTGCAGGCACCCGAGGCGAACAAACACTGAAAGACTCTCCCCGCACACGGGGTCCCCCTTCAGCCCTGACCACGCGCAGCAAGTTGACTTGGGCCAGAATTTGCCACGGATGTATCCTACCCTTCCTCCCTCCAAGACCCTCCCCTGTCATCCTCTCTTCCTCTTCCGCCTCTCCTCCACCTCCTCATATTCCTCGTACCTTCACTGCTCATACTGGTCCCCCTCTTCCTCCTGCGAGAGGCCCCACCAAGGGGAAGATTGCCGCGCTCGTCGAACCACTCGCTCAGCCTCGGGCGGGCGCGCAGGAAGAAGCGACGGAAGCGCGATACCTGGTTCACACACCTCGCCCCTCCCTCCTCCTCCGCCTCCTCCTCGTTCTCCTCCTCCGCCTCCTCCTCGTCCTCCTCCTCCTCCTCCTCCTCCTCCTCCTCCTCCTCCTCCTCCTCCTCCTCCTCATCATCATCATCTCATCATCTCATCATCATCATCATCCATCATCATCATCATCATCATCATCAGCATCTCAGCATCATCATCATCATCAACATCATCATCATCATCATCATCAGCATCATCAGCATCATCATCATATCATCATCATCATCATCATCATCATCATCATCATCATCATCATCATCATCACCACCACCACCACCACCATCATCATCATCATCATCAACAGCATCATGAGCAGCGTCATCATCATCATCATCAGCAGCATCATCATCATCAGCATCATCATCATCAGCATCATCATCAGCATCATCAACATCATCAGAATCATCATCATCAGCATCATCATCGCCATCATCATCGTCACCATCAGCAGTCATCATCAGCACCACCAGCATCAACAGCAAAATCATCAGCATCATCATCAGCAGCAGCATCACCATCATCAGCACCATCACCATCATCATCATCTGCCACCTCCTCCTCCACTACCACATCCTCTTTCTCTTCCTCCTCCTCCTCCTCCTCCTCCTCCTCCTCCTCCTCGTCCGCCTCATCCTCTCCCTCGTCCCACAGCCTCCCCCATTCCTCCTCCCTATTCTCTCCCCTCCCGCCTCCATCGACCCCCTCTCCCCCTCATCCCTCCTGCTGCCTTCGTGATCCGAGGGCCCCTCTCCCACTCCTCCTCGCATCCAGCTGCGTGCGCCCTCTCCCCGGGGGGCTTCCAACGTTCCCCCTCCTCGCCAGTCCCCTGCGCCGAAGGAACTCTTCCCGGAAGGGCTTCCACAGCGGCTGGGAGAGCACACTGTCCGATGGCGTGGCAGAGCTCTTGCCACAGTGCTCGGCCACAGGTGCGATCCCAAAAGGCAGGGGGGCGGCGGCGATCCGACATGGGCGTCTTCGAAGATGCAGATACGCCGTATGTTTCAGGGCCCAGGCTCTGGCCTCCCGGGATGCCTGGAGGCTCCCAGGCGCTCGTCGGGCCTGGGCTGATGATACTCTCCAAAAGACCTTTTCGAGCGCGGGTGGTGGCCCATCCTTCCAACATCCCTTGGACTTTCCACATTCTGGGGCTCTCCTGAGGGGCCTCTTGTGAAGGGGCCCTGGGACACACAAAAGAATACACACAAACAACAGGATTCCCCATATTGTCCCATATTGTCTGGGTTTTTGTCTTCCCCCCACTTCCCATATTTTCCCATATGTTCTGGGGAATCGAGGATTAATTGTGTCTGTATGCTTTTTCCCTCCTGATCTTGGGCCATCACCAAGGCCCTCGCGGCCGGCCCACGACGAAGAGACAACGAGATCTTAACAAGGGATCGGCGACTGCATGGTCTGCACGTGCTCGCTCTCCGTCGGCCTCGGGAAGGACCAACATGGCACAGCGGGGCCCCGAGGGAGCCCTCCCCCTCGGCCCTCCTGGGAGCGCCGCCCCTCCTCCTGACTGCCCGAGGCCCCTTCCAAGGGTGTCGGCCTTCGGGGGCTCCATCGACGTCCCCTCCTGAGGGGGTCGGCGGCCTTCGAGCCCTCCGCCCTCCCCCCGTCGCCCCCCCCCCCCCCCCCCCACTTGCGGTGTGCTGACCTTCCCGGGCGTCGCTGTATGGGGGGGGGGGGGGGGATGCACAGAGCGGGAGGAAGGTGCACTTCTCGGGCCCGTGTGGCCCCCCAAAGGCCCAAATTGGGGCCCGAAAGGGCTCCTTTGGGGGCCCTCACCGGGGCCTCTTTTCTGCAGCCCTCGCTGCCCCCCATTCTCGCCCGACCAGATCGCGACGCCTGAGGTGTTTCAACACGAGGTCCCCAGAAGTCCCGGCCCTTTCCCAAGGACCACCTCTTCGTCCCGAACCCTTTCTTGACGGCCCAGGGGCCACGCGAGGGCCCCAAGAGGCCGAAAGTGGCCAAAAACCTCCCGTCGTGACTTTTGTGTTACGACGCGAAGGAAATCCAAAATCCGCTCAAACTGGGTCCCCCGACCCCTGCCAGCGTCCAACCGCACCAATTTTAACGCTGCGTGCAGCCGCGGCGACGAGGAGGGCACCCGAGGGCCAAACAGCCTCGAACCTCGATCCTCGAGGTTCGAACCCAGACATGCGACGTCCTGATTTTTCCAGGACGGCGTCCCTGGAAGTCCCGACCCTTTCCCTGGGACCGATTTTGCGTCCTGTGTCGCTTTCTGACGGTCCCGAGGCCCGGCGAGAGCTCCAAACCTCGATCCCCGAGGCTCGAACCTCGATCCTCGAGGCTCGAACCTTGCTCCCCGAGGAGGGGCTGGCCACTCCCTCGGGCGGGGACCCCGTCGGCGGGCACCCCCTCGGGCGGGGGGATGGCCGCTCCGAGCCCTCCGCCCGGCTCGCGCAAGACGACCGACCATCCCAGGGCCCGGCGCGGCCTGCTCCTCCAGCTCCTGTGGTCCAGCTCCTCCTCCTCCTCCTCCTCCTCCTCCTCCTCCTCCTCCTCCTCCCCCTCCGTAGCCATTTTGGCTCAAGATGCCTAGTTCCACAGGGGAACAAGTGGATACCGCTAGTCCGCGGCCTGTGCCAGGGCTCTTGAGCCCGACAGCCCCTTCTCGATCCCAAGTGCAGACTGCAGCACCATGGCTGGCGCCGGCCGCAAGGAACGCCAGGACTGGGCTTGCAGGAGCTGTACGACGAAGCGCGGCAAGCCGCTCATCAACTTCGGGACCTCGCTCAAGTGCCAAGGGTGCAGGCTCCACAAGAAGGACGTGCACGGCGGGCCTGTGCCGCCGAAGGAGCCCTCGATGCGGGCCCCAGCCAAGGGCAAGAAGCGGGCCCCGTGGACGGCCGAGGGCAAGCTTGAGGGCGAGCTCGCGGCCATGCGGGCGGAGCTCGACGCTGCCAGGAAGAAGCTTCGCACGCAGGAGTCCGACCAGGGCGGGGCCGCGGCCATGCACGTGGACGACGGCAAGTCAGGCGAGGACGCCTCGGCTGCGAGCGAGATCAAGGTGTGCGAGGCAGGCCTGGCCACGCTCAAGGACGTGCAGCACGACTGGGCCACGGGCCCGCGGGAAGATCTCAAGCGCAGGCTCGCCGCCGCCAAGGACAGGCTCTTCGCCGCCAAGCCGCTCCACGCGCGGGCGCAGGCGCTGGCCCACAGGCAGAAGAATCTGGCGGACAAACTCAGCAAGATGGAGCTGGCCGAGCGCGAGGCGGAGGACCGTGTCAAGAAGGCGCAAGACGAGCTGGAGCTCAAGAGGCATGGTGTCAGAGAGCTCAAGGCGCAGCAGGTGGCCCTCCAGGCGGAGCAGTCGGCACTCCAGCAGCAGGTCCCAGTCGCGCCAGAGGATCGTCCGCCTGGGCAGTCCATGGAGCACGACGTCATCAAGAACACGGGCGGCCTCACCCTCGGCGACCTGGCGCAGGCTCTCAGCGGTGCGCTGGCCGCTCACCCCGACGACACCATGCAGACCGCGGGCGATTTGCCGCAGCGGCTGGCCTCGGCGCTCGGCGGGCCCCTCCAGGAGCTCATGCTGCGGCGGCAGCGCGAGCGGGCCGCCGCCACGGAGGCAGCGAGCGCCCCTCGCACCCCTGCAGCGCCCGTCGAAGGAGACGACGCCGCCGCCGCCGCGCATGGCGCAGGCACCGCAGGCGGCGCCGCCACGGCAGCCGCAGCGCCGCGCTGGGATCCCGCCGCGATGGAGCCCGAGAAGCTACGGCAGACCATGGCTGATTTCTCGCCAGGGCCAGCAGAGGAGACCAGCGACGCCATGCTGGCGCGGGCCACGGAGCTGGCCGCCAGGGGCTTCAATCCTTACTAAGCTCATCATCGCGATGTCCTGCACACTTGCGATGGCGAAAGGCACTATCACTACCAGCAACGTGACATCCCGGGGTTCATTGGCGCCGTGCCTAGAGACCCTCGAGTCGCACGTCGTTCTCGTCCAGGAACATCACCGACGGGACGAGGCGAAGCTCGCCGACCTGCAGCACGAAGTGCTGGATCACGGGTTCGCGGGCATCTGGGCGCCAGCAGTGGCAGGCCCCACCTCCGCGGAGGGCACGACGGGCGGCGTCGCGGTCCTGGCCCGCAAGAACATCCCCGTCACGGCCCCGCCGCTGCTGCCCTCGGCGACACTGTGGCCAGGGCGACTGGTGGCCGCCCACGTGCACTGGGGAGTCCGTGGCGGCATTGTCTTCGTGTCGGCCTACCTGGTCGACAGCGTTGGCATGAACGACGTGAACCGAAGAATCTTCGGCGCGCTCACTCGCTACCTCACGAAGCTCACGGCCTCGGGCATCGATTGGATCGTCGGCGGCGACTTCAATGGGCCTCCCAGCTGCCTGCCCCTGGCGCAGTTGGAAAAGGCGGGGGGCCTCTGGCTAGCGCCGTCGGCCGACACCTGCCGCCCACAGGCGGGCAGCGGCTCGGTGCTGGACTACTTTCTGGTCGGTGCAAACCTGGCCAGCCGCATCTCGGCTCCGAGAGTGGATGAGTTGGGCATCACCTCCCCAAACCTCCCTGTCAACATGGAGCTGCGGGCCGCCGACCTGGACATGCGCGTGAGGATCCCGATCGCCCCCAGGGCGATTCCAGCGGTGCCGCCCATCGGCTGCAGCCGCGGTGTCGAGGACTGGGCGCCCACTTTGGCCCAGGTGCGCGCCACAACCAGCGCCGAGGAGCTGCCAGCAGCATGGGACGCCGTCGTCAGCACCTTGGAGCAGGAGCTGTTGGACCGCTACGACCAGGTTGGCGAAGCGCGCAGGCGGTTCGAAGGACGTGCGGGGCCCATTGCGACCAAGCTGGCGCCAGTCAAGTGGAAGCCGCAAGGGCAGCGTGTCCGATTGGGGCCTGATGTCATCGCGGCCAAGGTCGCGGGCCGATGGGCGCGTCACTTCATGGGGGTCAGCGCGTTCCTCGCGAAGGCCAGCAGGAGGCTGCAAACCGCCAGCCTGCAGTGCTCCCTTGTCCCTGAGCAGTACCACGAGCTGGCGGACTTCGTCGTGAGGGCTTTGGAGTATGGGCGCGTGGTTATGGGCAGCAAGAAGACGCTAGCACTGCTCCCGCATTGGGTGAGGTCCTTCTTCGAGCAGGGCTTTCGCGTGATCGGCAACACCGACTTCCTGGAGCAGGCGGGCCGCATCGTCCAGTTCGCCAGGGACGCCCACGCGGACGCGCTCAAGGTCAGGCAGCAGAGCTGGATCCAGTGGGCCAACGACAGCCTGCGGAACGGCGCTGGCAAGGCGCACCGCTTCACCAAGCTGCGGGCGACGCAGGAGGTGCTGGCGCAATGGCAGGGCACCCACACCGAGCTCACCACTGGACGGCTCGCCCAGACCTTCGTCCCGCAGCAGCAGGTCGCCAGCCAGCACCTGATCTGCGACCGGGAGATGAAGGCCTGGGAGGACGTCTGGTCGTGCCACAAGCTCGAGGCGCTGGAAAGGCCAGCTGACTTCGACGAATGGGACGACCTCGAAGACCTCACCGTGGAGGCGCTGCAGCGGGCCGCCTGCAGCTTCCCCACCACCACGGCGCTCGGCCCAGCGCAGATCGGTATGCGCGCGCCCACCTTTCTCACGGACGACGGCGTTTACACCTGCGGCCAGCTCTTCATGAAGTGCGAGGCGCTGGGGGCTTGGCCCAGCGAAAGGCTGTGGCACGCTATGTGCCGCATCCCCAAGGCCTCTGGCGGCTGCAGGCTGATCACGCTGATGCACTCGCTAATCCGATGGTGGTCGAGGGCTCGTGCCTCGACGTCCAAGGCGTGGCTGACGGCGCACCCCAATGCCAGCATTTGGGGCATGGGCGGCGGCAGATCGTCCTCCGACTCCGCCTTCGACCTCAACCTTGAGACGGAGGTATCGGACTGCCTGGACGAGCACGTCGTAATCGTCATGCTGGACGCCTGGAAGTTCTTCGAGACGATTAAGCCCGAGTGGCTACTCATCGAGGCGCGGATGCTGGGCATGCCGCTGCGGTTGGTCTGGATGTTGATTGAGCTATACAGGCAGCCGAGGCGGCTGCAAGCTTTCGGCTCGGTGTCCTACGCGGTCGTGTCACATCAGGGCGTGCTCGCAGGATGCACTCACGCCTGTGCCATGGTCACCTTGCTCATGTTCAGGCTGCTCGAGCAGGTGCGAGATGCAGGCGTCACCCCGAGGGCCCTCATCGACGACGTCACCTTGCAGTGGCGCGGGAGGCGGCCCTCGCAACTGGGCGTGCTTTGGGCGGCCACCACCAGGTTCCGAGAGGGCGCCCAAGAGCGAGGCATTGTCGTGCAGCCCACCAAGTCGGGCTACTTGGTCTCATCGGACGCGGCTGCTCGCGAGTGTGCCCGACACGCGGCGGCCCGCAAGCTGACCAAGATGCGCTGGGCCCGCAACCTGGGGCACGATCTGGGCGGGCGCAGAATCGCTAGGCTCCAGACGGCAAAGCGGGTGCGGCAGCTCAAGGAGCGGCGCGGCAAGTTGGCAGCTTTCAGAGGGGCAGTGGGCAGGCGCGCTACCTGCCTATGGAAGACGGGCCTCATGCCGAGTGCGGCTCACGGTGCTGGGGTGTCAGGGCTCACCGACGATACGCTGCAGGTGCCGAGGGCCGAGGCTGGCAGGCTTGCAGGGGCTCGGCCAGGTGCATCGAGCGTCACGGTGTATTTAGCCACGCAGAAGGCGCGCGAGTACGACCCCATCTACGGCGCCACTTGCGACATCGTTTGCCGATACGCCAGCTGGATCTGGGAACAACGCACCTCCCTGGCTAGGCTCCACAGGGCCTGGGCCAAGGTCACGGAGCGGCTCGTGGGGCGCCCGTCCTGGGCAGGGGCTCGCGGTCCCATCGCCTCCGTCGCGCTGACGCTCTGGCGCATCGGATGGCACATGTACTCCAGCACGACCCTGGTCACCGACCAGGATACGGCGATCAACCTCCTCACCACGTGCCCGAAGGACGTCAGGATGCATCTGACCAGCGGCGCGCAACGCTGGCAGGCGAGGCAGATCGCGGCGCACCACCGCCAGCACGGCGAGGTCAAGCCTTGGGTGCGGGCCATGCGGCTCTGCGTGGGCGACGGGCGCGCGGCTTTGGCGGAGGGCCCGTCGGCCACCAGCCTGCGTCACCACTGGGCGACGGTGGCCTGGACGCAACAGGCCCAGCACGACCTTGGGCTGGCGGCGGCGCCGAATTGCAGGGCCTGCGGACATCCGTCCGACTCGCCTGGGCACAGATTTTTCGGCTGCGAGGTACTCGTGCAGCCGCTCACAGAGGAGGAGCAGGACGAGCAGCTGCCGCCCGAGCCGACGCAGGCCATCCGCACCTTCATGTGCGACAAAGGCCTGCAAGAGGGCGGCAGCTTCGAGAGCGCCGACTTCCAAATGTGCTTGCCCTGCATGCCGCCTTTCGTGCCGCCCGCCGCGGA